CACCATCAGCACCATCAGCACCATCATCATCATCATCATCAGCATCATCATCATCCTTATCACCACCATCGTCATCATCACCATCGTTATGATCGTCATCATCTGAATCATCAGCATCATCAGCAGCAGCATCAGCATTGTCATCCACATCCTCACCAACATCATTATCCGCATCATGGTCCTGGTCCTCCTTCTCATCCTCATACTCCCCCTCCTCATCCTCAGCAGAGCGTCGTTACCGTCGTCAGGAGCAACATCATCAAAATCATCAATGAACAGAATCCTAATCCACATGCTCACCCTCATCATAATCACAATCATCACCCTCAGCATCAGCATCATCCGCATCATCATCATCATCATCAGCATCATCATCATCATCATCATCATCATCATCATCATCATCGTCACCATCCTCAGCATAAACGTCACCATCATCATGGCAATCAACATGGTCATCAGCCGAATCAGCATCATCAGCATCGTCATCATCATCAGCATTATCAGCATCATCATCAAGAGCAACAGCAGCACCATTTCAATCCTCATCATCAGCAACAACCGCATCATCATCACCACCACCATCATCAGCAGCCCTATCATCATCTTCATCATCAACCCCATCAGCATCCTCATCCTCATCCTTATCTTCATCCTCCTCATCCTCATCACCATCCTCATCATCATCCCCATCATTATCATCATCGTCATCGTCATCATCAGCAGCATCATCATCGTCAGCGTCATCATCATCATCATCATCAGCATCATCATCATCATCATCATCATCATCGTCATCATCATCATCATCGGAATCACGCGCCTCCCCCTCCTTCTCCTCCTGCTCCTCCTGCTATTCCTCCTTCCCCTCTTCCTCCTCCTCCTCCTCCTCCTCCTCCTCCTCCTCCTTTCCTCCTCCTTCTGTTAAGTACACTGCAGTCTGGTGAAAATTTAGCTGGTGAATTTTTGACGGGCTGCGGAAGGGGTCGAGGCTGGGACGCGGAGCGCCCTAGCTGTCTTTTCAGATGACGACCCGTCGTCATGTCGGCATCATCTGCTGGAGCGGCTGTCAAAATTGGGTGCTGGAGTCCACGCCGTGGGCTGCAGGAACCAATACCCCTTGTAAAAAATGGGTGCTGGAACCCACCATTCTTGACGGCAGAATCTGCTGGGACCACTTACCCTCGTCAAAGCTGGGTGCTGGTACTCACGGCGTAGGCTGTTGAAACCATTGTCCATCTTAGAATTGGGTACTGGGACCGACCCTTCTTTGACGACATGATCTGCTGGAACCACTTCCCCTCCTAAAAAACATACTGGAACCACACTCGATTTAGGTCTGTACATCTATGTATATATATAAACATATATATATATATATATATATATATATATATATGCGTTCTGTATATATGTGTTGCATAGATATAAGTATTCGATGTATTTACAAATTAATATGCTACGCGTGATGAACTTATACAAATATAGAAAGAGAGAGAGAGAGAGAGAGACAGGTCGGGGGAGCGGGCACGAAACCAAAGGGAGTTGTGATCACGCCGTGCCCTCAAACAGGGGCGGCCCGCGTGCGCGTGCGCGCGCGCATGCGCGTGCGCGCCTGCGTGAGCGTGCGTGTGTGTGTGTGTGTGTGTGTGTGTGTGCGAGCGTGCGCGTGTGCGCGTTCGTGCGCGTGTGCGCGTTCGTGCGCGCGCGCGTTCGCTCACGCGCGCGTGCGCCCGCGCAAGCTCACGCTCGAAGGCGAGCCCGAGCGCGAGCCCGAGCCCGAGCCGGAGCGCGAGCTCGAGACTAAGCCCGAGCCCGAGCCTGTCCTCAGCGCGCGCACGCGCGGGTGCGCGTGGCCCGGTCGCGAGCCGGACCCCGAGCGCGAGCGCGAGCATGAGACCAAGCCCGAGCACGAGCCCCATCTTGAGCGCGTGCGCGCGCGTGCGTGTGTGAACATGAGCTTCTGACATGTCGACATGAGCTCAAAAGAACACTACCAACAATTGCCACCTGACTGTAGCCATCAGACTCATACTGATCATGCTCGCCATCCTAAAGCTTACTCGACATCCATGATCCTTATCCCCCTTCTTCTGCTCCTCCTCCACTTCCTCGTTTTCCTCCTCCTCGTCCTTCATCTCCTCATCGTCATCACGACGACCATCACCATCATCGTAAGCATCAGAATCATCGCCATCAGCATCACCAGCATGATCAACATTAATCTACTAGTCGTCAGCGACGTCGTTGTCGTGGCTGTCATCATCAGCAGTATCGTCATCATGACCAGTGCAATGTTCATCATCAGCATCATAATGATGGTCGTCGCCAATATTGATGTCAAAATTACCACCATCGTCATCACATCGTCATCGTCGACCAGCTCCGCCTCCCCATCATCCTCCTTCTCCCGCTCCTCGTACTTCTCCTTCTCCTCCTCCTCAACATCCGCCTCCGCAAACGCTTTCTCCTCCTCCTCCTCCTCCTTCGTGCAACCCACCTGCTAACCTTCCACCCTCTACCCTGCCCCCTCCCCTGCATCACCTGGCGATTTGTCTCATCGTCCTTCCCTTCCTCCTCCTCCTCCCCCCCCTCCCGGGTCGTCCCTCCTCCTTCCCTCCCTCTGAACGTCTGCTCTGCTATCATATCCTCCTGCTCCCACCCCCTACACCTCACCATCATCGTCATCATTATCAGCATCATCGTCATCATCATCATCATCATCATCATCATCATCATCATCATCATCATCATCATCATCATCATCATCATCATCATGATCATCATCATCATCATCATCATCATCATCATCATCATCATCATCAGCAGCAGCAGTACCATCATCAATCTGGTACACGTCGTCATCCTCGCACTCAACCTCCTCCTCCCCCGTCGCCACCGCATCGGCCTCCTCTCCTCACCAGCCCCATCGTGCTGAAACCCCCTCGCACGAGGACACGACACGTCTACCAGCTGTGTGCAACACCCACCTCTACCCACACTGGGCGCACTCACAGACTCGGCGGTGGACAAACCTCCCTTTAGTAAACCTCCCCTTAGTGAAAACGGCCTGGGACCGAAACCGACGGACCTGTACCTGCAAAAATGATGGCCGCGACGCCCTCTTGCGAACCGAAAACGGCCAATTCCTTAATCGACGCGTCAGGGTAGGAGGTCTGTACACCCCCGACAGACGCGCGCCCGAGCGCCGTGTCCGTCGGCGGTGCCAGCAAAGGAGAGGGGGCGCCTCCAGGAAGACGGCCTCCCTCAGGTACCCGTCGTCGTCCTCGTCGCGCCCGTACCGCCACCAGTAGCGCCCGAAGTCGTGGACCTCGCCGGGAATCCCACCAGCCCTTTGGGCGTGAGTGGTTTAGAGAGCCCGCTCTGTTCTCAACCCCCTTCTTCCCCTTCGGGGAGGGGTTTACCCCTCCCCCTACCCCCTCCCCCTGGGCCTGGAGAGGTCCTTCCGCGGGTGGTCGGAGGGGTCTTTTTCGACTCCTGGGAGGGCTAAAATTCGACACCCCTCACGAGGATCGTGGCCCCGACGGGGGGGGGGAGAAAAATGCTCGCCCCATCTGTGATCGATCGCCCGAAAGATGGCCCCAAGATACCTCCCAGACCCCTCCCAAAGAGCCCCAAGAGGGCCCTAAGAGCGCCCCGGGAGAGCCCGCAAAGGGCTCCGAGACCTCCAACATATCGCCCAGAAGGCCCTAGTATATCCCCAAGATGTCTCCACATATCGCCAAGAAGGCCCTAGTATATCCCCAAGCACTGCGACAACGACAACGACTACGACTTCTACCGCTACTCCCACCGCTACCACCACGACTCCTACTACAACAACAACAACAACAACAACAACAACAACAACAACAATCATTTAAGACTGGGGACACTCCGTTCTCACCAGTGCCAGGGTTTTCATAGGAGGCGGGCAATACCCCCACTTTGTGGGGGGGCCGGTTCAAGCTCTACCAAATTTCCAAACGACTCTTCGCCACCACCCACACCCAGCTTCCCGCCCTATGACGTTCGGACACTTCACTTCGTGGCATGCGGACGACCGTGGCTACTATTCAGGGCCCCGCGGCCGACGACGACGGCGTGCGCGCGCGAAGAAAAAACGAATGTGTCCCGCATGGTATTATTTGACAGGGATGATGGCCCTGGCAGGTGCGCAACCGTTGTCGCAGAAGTTCGAAAAAGTTGCTCGCAAAAGCCCGTTTGACAGAAATGTTTAAAAAGTGTTGGGTTTCCTACGAATCCGCAAGAGCGCGCGGGATGAGATTTTGACATTTTTTTGTTGAAAAACCATTGGTTTTTTGATGTTTTTATGTTAAAATCGCTCCGAACACTAAGCTTTTGGAAGGATTTCGTCTTGCGCGCGCGAATGTCCACTTTACCTTATTTTTTGCAAGGGATTCTTGAAATTTGATTATATTAGAACAAGAAATGTCATTTTATAGTGTTTTTTGCAAGGGAAAACGGATTACAACAAAACAACCGGATCTTGATCACATCGTATTACCTGAGGCTTCCTCACGAAAATGATGAAAATGTAGCTGCGGCCTAGGCGGCGCAGGGGGGCCGTGCACCAGGGGTCCCAACAATAATTATTCTTTAGAATTAATAATGTTCAACTACTCATAATTCTACCGCTACTGCTACTGCTACTGCTACTACTACTACTACTTACTCTAATACTACTACTACTACTACTACTACTACTACGACTTACTACTACTACTACTACTACTACACTACTACTACTACTACTACTCGACTACTACTACTACTACAACGACTAACTACTACTACTACTACTACTACTACTACTACTACTACTTACTACTACACTACTACTACTTACGACTACTACTCCTACTATACTACTACTACTCTTACTACTTACTCCTACTATACTACTACTACCTACTACCACTACTACTACTACTACTACTTACTACTACGACTACTACTACTACTACTCTCACTCCTACTACTGCCACTTCTTCTTCTTCTTCTACGACCACTACTGCTACTTCTGCTACTACTACTACTACCACTACTAATTCTACTACGACGGCTACTGCTATTGCTACTGCTACTGCTAGTGCCACTGCTACTGGTAGTGCTACTACTACTACTCTGCTATACCTACTACTAACTACTTACTAAACTACTACTACTATACGACTACGACTACGAATATATACTACTACTACTACTACTACTACTACTACTTCTAACTACTACTACTACTACATCATCTACTACTACTACTACTACTATACTACTACTACTACTACGACTACTACTACTATACTACTACTACGACTACTTACTACTACTACTACTAACTACTACTACTACTACTACTACTAATACTACTACTGGTACTATTACTACTTCTTCTATTACTACTACTACTACTACTACTACTACTACTACTACTACTACTACTACTGCTGCTGCTGCTGCTGCTGCTGCTGCTACCACTATTACTACCACTACCACTGCTACTAGTACTACTGCTACTATTACTACTGGGACTACTACTACTGCTGCTACTAGTACTAAGACTACTACTTCTACCATTACTACTAGTCCTATTACTGCTACTACAACGACTACTACCACTACTACTACTAAGACTACCACCACTACTACTGCTACTACTACTATTCCCTCCCAACACCTTCTCTCCCTCCTCCTCCTCGGACTCGTCCTCCTCCCGCTCCCCCCACTAGGTCGATGTACAAGGCGGCAGGAGGACATAGGAACAGGGTAAATATGCGAGAGCAGGCAGAAATACGCCTGAAAAACACGACTGTCGGCATGCTTCGCTGGAGTTGCTGTTTGGGGATGGGCTGGTGGGGATACGCGAAGCGTGAAGAATTGACTACCTACCAGACCAGCCGACCACCCCAACCCAACCCGAAGACCCGAATTTAAACCGAATTTCGGGTTGGGGGGGGTGCGGCTTCCATGTGTTTTTTCAATGTTCCCCGACCCCCCCCCCACTAGAAATGGAGGGCAAATTAAGGCCTTCGGGTTGGGTTGGGGTGGTTTGGTGGGTGGTGAGGAACAGGCCGAGGCGGCGCGCGACAGAGGTGCGGAGGAGCGCTGCTGCTGCGCAGAAGAGGGGCGCGGTGGTGGCGCGCGAGCGCACAAGGAAGGCCCGGGGACCCGCCCGCTCCCGCCTGTTCCTCCACGTACAGTCGGGGCCTTGACCTAAGGAACCCTAAATAAAGAACGAGGCCCCTTTTTCCATAAGTTAAACTTCGATTGCATATCGACAACCTCAGGAAAACCTGAGGCAAACTGCGAAGCATTAAGGAACGCGGAGCCCCTCCCCAACGAAAAGGGTTCCTTCTTCAGGGCCCCGACAGTACGCAGGGGAGCACAAGCAGTGATGTAAAACAGAAGCTGCCTGGAGGCTGACGCGCTGGAGGCTCCGCCAGGGGGGCTCCAGCGCCGATCCGGGAAGTCCGCGCGGACCGTCGAGAGCTGATGTCTATGCTGTGGTTTCTCCTTCGACGGGTGCGGCCGCGCCGCTCCTCTCCACGTACAGTCGGACCTAGGGCAGAAGGGCATCCGTCAAGAGCACGAGACCCTCCGCAGGCCAAACTGAAGAGCCCTCGAGGGTGCCCCCCCCAGGCTGCACGAGAACATCCAACAGACACGAAGAGCACCAGGGCCCCCCCCCCGACCCGACCTCGATCTGATACCTCGGTCCGACTGTTCTCCTCGTGCTCCTCTCAGGGCCCCGTAGACCCGGACACGCTAGACCCGGACACCCAATATCCTTCGAAACCTATTTTTCCAAACGGCGGCACGAACAAAATACTGCACTGCAGCATTTCCAGAGTCCTGCAGTGCAGCAAACAAAAATGCACGGGTGCTGAAAAGCGTGACTTTGCAGGAATGGATGTCGCTTCCTTGGTTTTCCGTGTCCCTGTTTCTCTGTGTCCTGGCCTCTGGGGGCCTGCTCCTCCCGCTCCTGCCGGTGCTCGGCCCTCGGGAGCCCAGCGACTGCGTGGCCTGCAGGCGCGGTGCCCCCTGGAGCCAGCTTGGGTGGACTCGGCGCGCCGTGTGTGCGGGAGAGTCCGCCAGCCCCCCTCGGGACAAATCATGTCACCTGGCTGCCGCGGCGCTGCGCCTGGGAGCGCCAGCGCATGTCAGCACCCTCCAACGTTGGAGGCCTGGAAATGGGCACCAACACCAGCACAGGGAGCTGCCTCCGCAGGGGGAAGACGATCCTAGGTTCCGGTGCTGGTGGCAACAGTTCGGCCGCCTTGGAAGCCAGAATACTACCACCATCACCGAGGTCGGGATCTTCTTCCCTCGGTAGAGGCACGCCGCCGATCTTGGTGTTGGTGTCAACCTCCAGGCCTGCGACAATGGATGGGGTGAAACAGAAGGTAAGCAGAGGCTTCGTCGTCATCTCGTCGGATACCGTGGCGGAGCTCTCCCGGGCTGGCTGTCGCCCTGGGCAACAGGGTCGTGGAGCCCAGGGTGCGGGGCCACGTCGGCCAGCTCCGCAATGGCTCAGCCAACCGTGCGGATGAGGAAGGTCGGAGGCCAACTATCCCCCTCCCCGATCATGGCCAGGTCCACCCTGGGCCCAGGATTTACTCGGCCATTCTATATATATATATATATATATATATATATATATATGGGCCAGCGTGGACCCCAAACAGTGTGTTTCCAGCAATGTGGCGCAATATCAGAGTGGGGGGGCCGAACGGTCATGCACTGTCCCTGGGCGCGTGGCTGAAGTGAGGATCCGCGGTCGGATTGCTGTTGTTGTTGCTGTTGTTGATGTGGGCGTTGTTGTAATTGCTGTTGTTGCTGTGGTTGTTGTTACTGTTGGTGTTGATGTTGTTGTTGTTTGTATTATTGGTTTTGTTAGTTGCTGTTGCTTTGTTTGTTGATTGCTGTTTGCTGGTTGTTGTTTGTTGTGTACTGTGTGTTGATTGTTGTTTGTCGTCGTCCCACTGGCGACCCGGCCCGCGACCCACCCGCGACCCACCCGCGACCCACCCGCGACCCACCAATCCACCCCGCGACCCACAAGCGACCCAACGGCGACCCACCCCGCGACCCGGCCCGCGACCCACCCGCGACCCACCCGCGACCCATCCGCGAACCACCCGCGACCCGGTCCCGCGACCCACCCACATTCCCTTTAACGAAAAAATCGTCGCTTGCGGCAGGTTCGTTGCACAATTGTTCCAAACCAACACAAAATGTTTGCGGCGTTTGTGTCGTCCCCACCGCCCCTCCCACCCTTTATCCGCAACTGCGGGCTGCTACGTATGTATG